CACACACACACACACACACACACACACACACACACACACACACACACTATTTCTATCACTGTATCCAGTTTTACTGGAGAATATGGTTACAGACGTTTTAAAATTAAGTTTGTACTATTCTGCCCTCCACTGATAGATTTAACAGATTTATTAAGTGTGACTATGGATCACACACTGACTATTCATAGAGAGACAAAAGTAGGAAGAATTTAGTCCCTAGCAGATGCATTCCTGTGCTTAAGCTAAGTTACCATTTGTTCTAAGAAAACAGGATGATATATGTATTGTCAAAAACGTTCTGGCTTAAATTAAATGTCTTTAATTATCTGAATTAAAAAATTAAGGGTAAATATTTTTTAAAAGTGAAAAAAGAACTGAGACTGATACTCCAACCAAAACCATGCATGGAGATAACTTAGAACCTCTGCACAGATGTAGCCCATGGCAGCACAGTCTCCAAGTGGGTACTCTAGTAAGGAGGAACAAGGACTGTCTCTGACATGAACTCAGTGGCTGGCTCTTTGATCACCACCCCCTGAGGGGGGAAGCAGCCTTACCAGGCCACAGAGGAAAACAATGCAGCCATTTCTGATGAGACCTGATGGGCTAGGGTCAGAAGGATGGTGAGGAGGACCTCCCCTATCAGTGGACTGGGGGAGGGGCATAGGAGAAGAAGATGGAGGGAGGGTGGGATTGGGAGGAGGTGGGGGAGGGGGCTACAGCTGGGCTACAAAATGAATAAATTGTAATCAATAAAAAAAATTAAAAAAAATGAAAAAAGAAAATGTAGGCTTTTTCATAGTTAAAGCAAGTGTTAATTCTTTTTTTTTTTTTTTTTAGGATTTATTTAATTAACCTAGAGCACAATGCTGGGCAATAGTTATTCCATCCTAAACCTCCAAGCCCATATAGCTTCCTCACATTCAGATTTCCCACATAATACTTGCTTTTAATCATATCTTAGTTCCAGTTCTTCTCTCCTGGTGTTTCCAAATCCTCTCCTCCTAACTCTCCCCTCCTCCTGCTCCCTTCCTTTTCCTCCCCTCTGGACTAGGATGTCCCACCCTATTTTCTCCATTGCTCAGCACTGGCTAGTTGTTTAGCTGAAAATACAGAGAAAAAATGGTGGCATGTTTAAACTTGAGACAGGTGATGCTTAGAAGAAACATCACAATGCAATGTCTGGATTGAAACCAGATAGTGGGGCAGAGAAATTAGCACTTGAATGAACAAGGGTAAACTGTATACATTCCACAAGAACATTATATCAACATTTCCCCTTTAAGTCCAATAAAAGGCTCCTTTTCTTTCAATAAGATAATAATTATAAAAGCTATGAAAACAATTAGGTAAGATTTACATGTGCAACATCCCGTTCACATGCATTTGGCAATTTAGGAAAAAGTATTAGATTATCCCATTGTGAAAAGTTTAGCACGTTCTATACCTAAATTAACTTTTATCCTTATTGGTATTACCTATATGAAAACATTTTCTTAAATTCTAAACAACTTAAGCTTAATTGTGGAACTATAACTATTTGGTCTTCAATCCCACCAGAGACTTGAAAAGGAAAAAAATTAGTTACTGGAATAAATAGGAAATTCCTATTAGCAGCTTTTGGGAGACTGCATTTGGAGGCCACTGTACTTTTTGTACATGCATTAGAGTCTTGATAATTAAACAGATAAAACCTTGGAAATTAATAAAGACAGAAAGAATACAATACATGATAGGTTTTAATTCAAGATACTCAATAGGCATGAAAACAAAACTTCTATATGTATTTTGATAGCAGCATTATGTTGTAATAGTTGGCTTTTCTTCTTTACCACCCAAATGTACAAACCTCCAATTATAATACACATGACTTTAAAAAATATTTATTTAAGTGAATGTCTTTGTGCATGTAGTACCCGTGGAAGTCAGAAAAGGTATCAGATCACCTGGAACTGGAGTTACAGAGTTGTGAGTAGCTTTATGTGGGTGCTGGCAATTGAATCTGGGTCCTCTGCATGAACAATAAATGCTTTTAACTGCTGAGCCATTTCTCCAGCTGCCAGAATTATTTCCTCTAAAATGATATAGTTTTATGGCAGTTTGCCAAGACACTACTAATTATCATCTATGCACTGTAACTCCAGTTCCAGGTGATCTGACACCTTTTCTGACTTCCATGGGTACAAAACTAAAGTCCAAGTGGATCAAAGACCTCAACATAAAACTAGACACACTAAACCGCTTAGAAGAAAAAGTGGGGAACAGCCTAGAACTCATTGGCACAGGAGATAACTTCCTGAACAGAACACCAACAGCATAGGCTCTAAGAGCAACAATCAATAAATGGGACCTCATGAAACTGAAAAGCTTCTGTAAAGCAAAGGACACTGTCATCAGAACAAAACGACTGCCTACAGATTGGGAAAGGATCTTCACCAACCCTTTATCTGACAGAGGGCTAATATCCAGTATATACAAAGAACTAAAGAAGCAGAAAAGCAACAAATCAAGTAATCCCATTAAAAAATGGGGAACGGAGCTAAACAGAGAATTCTCGAAAGAGGAATATCGAATGGCAGAGAAACACTTAAAGAAATGCTCAACCTCATTAGCCATCAGGGAAATCAAAACGACCCTAAGATTTTACCTTACACCCATCAGAATGGCTAAGATCAAAAACTCAAGTTACAACACATGCTGGAGAGGTTGTGGAGAAAGGGGAACCCTCCTCCACTGCTGGTGGGAATGTAAACTTGTACAACCACTCTGGAAAGCAATCTGGCGCTTTCTCAGACAACTAGGAATAGCGCTTCCTCAAGATCCACCTATACCACTCCTAGGTATATATCCAAAAGAGGCTCAAGTATACAATAAGGACATTTGCTCAACCATGTTTGTAGCAGCCTTATTTGTAATAGCCAGAAGCTGGAAACAGCCCAGATGCCCCTCAGTAGAGGAATGGATGCACAAATTGTGGTACATTTACACAATGGAATATTACTCAGCAATAAAAAACAAGGAAATCATGAAATTTGCAGGTAAATGGTGGGATCTGGAAAAGATCATCCTGAGTGAGCTATCCCAGAAGCAGAAAGATGTACACTGTATTTACTCACTCATATAGACGTATAATACAGGATAAACCTACTAAAATCTGTACACCTAAAGAAACTAATCAAGAGGGAGGACTCTTGCTAAAATGCTCAATTCATATTATCTGTTTTTTAACACCCCATTGATTGTTGCCAAAGAATGTCTTTTATTATTTGTTCTATAATTATTTAATTTCTCTTGAATTTCTAATCCTCTTATAAGAGAATACTGTCAACCATGAAAGCAATAGGGAGGATTACATTGAAACAAGTCTTTCTACATAGCCCTGGCTATCCTGGAACTTACTGTGTAGCCCAGGATGGCCTTGAACTCACAGAGACCTGCCTATCTCTGCCTCCCAACTTCTGAGATTAAAGAGTGCACCACTATGCCTGGTGGGAGAAATACACTTAAACAAGTTCAACTGGATAGAAAAATTCAGGAATGAGGTATAATTCTAAGACCATCTAATCCAGCCTCACATTTATTATTTATTGAACATATTGTATATCTGATTTAGACACCTGCCCCTTCCAGTGAAGTGGTAATATAGTCACATACTAGATTCTTCAACTGACAAAAGCTCATAATCTTACAAAACAAACAAACAAACAAACAAACAAACAAACAAACAAACAAAAAACCCAACACTCCTCCTTTGGGTAGTTCTTTTGGAAACTTCGATTATATTACTTGGAAATATGTGTCCTTTAAATTTTCCACATATTTGATGAACTTCATGAAAATGAGGATGACGCTAAGCTTAAGATGCTTTTTTGAGTTTTTTTAAATTTTATTTATTTTATTTTATGTGTACAAATGTTTTGCTTGTGTATATGTCTGAGTGTCACATGACCATGGAA